TTCCCTACACCAGATATTGTACCCCCAGTCCCTATTCCTGCAACCAGGGCATCAACTTTTCCTTCAGAATCTCTCCAAATTTCTGGGCCAGTCGTGTCATAATGTATCTGCAAAAACAACAATAACACAATCTATAATCTAACCATATGGCAACATCGGAGATGCGCTGTCACTACATAGTACCTGTGGATTGGCAGGATTGTCAAACTGCTGAAGCATATAACTGTTAGGTGTGTCGTTTAACAGCTCCAAGGCCTTATCATAAACCCCCTTAAAGCCCTTGGCAGGGTCCGTCAAGTAAACCTCAGCTCCAAAAGCAAGGAGCACAATTCTTCTCTCGATGCTGTAAGAAGATGGCATGGTGAGTTTAACCCTGTAACCCTTGACTGCTGCAACGGATGCCATCCCGATTCCGGTGTTGCCACTAGTAGGCTCCACAAGGACAGTCTTTACCCCACTCATTATTCAACAATCAAGCATAAGTGGAACCAATAATAATATGTTAGTTCAGGATACCATAAACCAAATACATTATATTTATATGGCATCTACTTAGAGGAATGACAGAAAGCTGGAATAGAGGTACGAAAATGCACGAATCTCACTTGAACTTCAATGAGAGTACTTTAGCATATATGTCAGAAATATTTGTAAATTTTGTTTTCTGAAGTCAAAAAAGTCGGTTAAATTCGACAAAACTGACAAGGCAATATGACTGCGGCACTAAAGAAACTGTATGATAGAGTAGAGAGTGATATCAATCCTAGTGATTTAAATCCTACAAAATCTACATGGCCAACTAAATAGTTAATCTCAGGACATAAGAAATTTCCATTACTAACCTTCCCTGGCGTGATAAGACCCTTCTCCTCTGCATCTTGAATCATACTGTACGCTATCCTGCACATCAAAAAAGAAAAATTAAAGGTTCTAAAACAAACCAAGTAGGCTAAAGGTCGTTGTATTAAGTAAAACAAATGCATATTTAAAATTCCAGATAAATAAAAGAGACTATGTTCATATGCCTGTCTTTGACACTAGAGCAAGGTTCCATCGTCTCTAGTTTGGCGGAGATCCGGGCTACACAACCATCCGCAACATTGTTCAGATACACCATTGGCGTATTTCCAATCAACTGCAGAAGCCAAATAAAAGAAGAAGAATAACATTAGTAAAAGAGTTGCAAAAGCTGAAGCAACATGGGAATATCTTTTAAGTTATGGTAAAGATGAATTACCTCGGTAACATCTTTCTTGATTCTGAACTTGTCCTCCATGTTAATCTAATTCAAAGTTCTGTCAAAAAGGCCAGAACTGCTTAGAATCGGTATGTGAGCAAAAATGTTCAAATATGGAAACAGATGAATAGAAAAGAAAAGTTAGTTATCTATTATTGAAGAACATCCAAAAACTCAAATTTTCAAAAAAAAAAGAAAAAAGAAAAAAAAATCAAAGGTTCAAAATGCAATTCTACGCACAGGATAAAACAGAGAAAATAAACATAAATTTCAAGTACCCAGTAGCCAAATTACAAAAGTTTCAACTACCCAATATAGGAAATATATCTTAAAACCAACAAACAACGCAAAATAAACTTGACAAAATTTACAAAAATAAAACAGTGAAGAGAATTACAGAGAGTGAAGTTACTCACATTCAATGAGTTCCAAAACCAACAGGCAAAAAACAAAAGCACCCAGTTCAGGAACCTGTCCAATTCAAGCAAATCCAGGCCCAAAAGAATCAAACTTTCGCAGTCAAGAAGGAAGAGAAAAATGT